CATGCAAATAAAAGTTTGCCGAAGATCATTCAACAGCAGTTAGAGTAGTTCATCAACAGCTGCCAGAAATTCACCCAGATTCAGGAAGGGGAACAAGGGGTATCAATGCTGACATGGTATATTATGGCTCAAAGCAGAGAATAAGAGAAAAATGTTTACTCATATTTTGTGGACTATACAAAGACATTTGACTATGTGGATCATAACAAATTACAGATAGTGCTGAGCAGAATGGGAACTGGAACTCAGGAACATCATTTTACTCTTGCAACCTCTCAAACAGAACAAGGTAATACTGCATGATTTAAAATCAGGAAAGGTGTGCATCAGAATTGTATCTTCTCACTACACTTATTCAATCTGTATGCTGAGAAAATATTTCGATAAATTAGACTTTATGAGGAAAACACAGTATTGGAGGAAAGCTTATTAACAACCTGAGATATACAGATGGCCCAGCCTGGCTTGTCTTAAGGACTTAAGGACTTAAAGCTTTTGCTGATGAAGATCAAGGATTGCATCCTTCAGTATGGATCACAACTCAATACAAAGACAACCCAAATCGTCACAGCTGGACCAATTTATATAACATCATGATAAGCAGGGAAAAGACTCAAGTTGTCAAGGATTTCATTTTCAATGCTCATTGTGTATCAGCTGTTAAGAAATCAAATTACACATTTTGTAGGACAAAATTGCTTCATAGGAACTTTTAAATATGTTGAAGAGCAAGGAAGTTACTTTGAGGACTAAGGTGCATTGAGCTCAAGCCAGGATATATTCCATTGCCTCATATGCATGTGAAAGTTGGACACTGAATAAGGAAGGCAAAAGAAGAATCAATGCATTTGAATTATGGTGTTGGCAAAGAATACCAAAAGTACTATGGATGGACCACAAAACGAACAAACAAACTTCTCGGAAGGAGCACAGTCCGAATGCTCCTTAGAAAGGGGGATAAGATTCTGTCTAACATGTGCTCTGGATAGGCTATCAGGAGAGACCGGATGCTGGAAAGAACGGGAGTGAAACAGAGGAAGACTTGACTAGGTGGATTGGCTGTAACAATGGGCTCCAACATAAGAACAATGTTGGAGAAGGCACAGGACCACCCGGTGTCTTTCTGTTGTACCAAGGGTCCCTATGAGTCAAACCTGTCTAGATGGCAGCACTTAACAACAAAAACAACATCCATGAACATGGACATGGAATAGTCGGGTTTTCCCCCAAACCATTTCATGAGACGCTAATCCAGACATCAGACCATTCCACATACCTCCACGCCATTCAATGATATCAAGCAGTATTGTACAATCACTTCCACAATCAGTTTCAAAACATGTTCTTCCTTCTTGAACCCCTTGAGATCAGTTTCCCCTTACCCCCTGCCCTTGCCCCACCTGCGACACTGTGCTGGAAGAACCCTTAATCTAGTTTTGCCTCTCCAGATTCCCCTGCCTGTGCTTCATATACTGAAAAACAAAGAAAACCACATACCAAAGATTCAAGAAAGCTGCCAACAATGACAGTGTACAGCAGAGACAAACTCCACCATGAAAACACAGATAATATTAAAAACCACATCAAGCACACAGTTATCAGAAGGGAGATCAAGTGATAAGGGTTTACTCATTCAAGTCAGATTTATCATTTTAATCTACAGTAGTCGTTGCTCCAACATTCTCTGTCTGATAACCAGGTTATTCCCCTCCCTGAATTATGGGTAGAGGGAGATCACCGGAGGCTTATTTCTTGTGGAGGGATATGCCTCCATTTCTCCAGGGCTGTCTTGTTCCTTGTAGGAGTGGTCTGTAGCTGTCTTTGTGCAAGTCTTTTGTTTCTTGGGCGGTCTAGTCTCAATTATTTCATTTTTCTGTGGTGATTACAAGTCATATTGTTTTCTTGATTTCTTTTTCAGAATAATTTTAATTAGTATACAGGAATCCAATTGATTTCTTCGTATTGATCTTGTATCCTGCCACACTGCTGAATCTCAATTGTTTCCAACAATTTTTTGTCACGTTTTTAGGGTTTCCCACATATAACATAATATCATCTGATAATAGTGAAAGTTTCACTTCTTTACCAATCTAGATTCCTTCTACTCCTTTTGTGGTCTGATAGCTCTGGCTAAAAGTTCCAGCGCAATGTTGAATAAAAGTGGTGGTAGGGGGCATTCTGACTTCTCTCCATTGATCAAAATGCTGACTGTTGGTTTTGCATATATGACCTTTATAAGGCAGTATTGTTCACAATAGCAATATGATAGAAACAATCTAAATGTCCATCAATAGAAGAATAGGGTAAGGAACCTCTGAAACAGTTATTTCATAATAGGCACTTGAAAAGTATAGAGTATAAATCTAAGAAAATTGGAAGTTGTCAACAGAATACTTTGCATCACTTAAAACAAGAACCTCATAACATGGATGAACCGAGAAAACATTATACTAATGAAAATAACCAATCACAAAAGGACAAATATTATATGAGATCACTGATATAAGGGCAGAAAAATTACTCCCACATGAAGGCAACAGAATTTGGAGGTTGCCAAGAGTGGCAGAAGAGAGTGGAAGAGGATGGGGTAATGAAATGTACCATTGATGGATGTTGACTTGTGTGAAGTAACGATGATAGCCCGTGGGGAGGGGAGGTAGGTAGGGAAGATGGACCACTGGAGGGTTTGTTTAGTGGTTTGGACTATAGAATAAAAAACTGATGAGCTGAAATGTAAACTGTCACTTAATTTATAATAAATAATTGTTCGAAAAAGAGAAGAAAAAGAAGCAGCAAGGGAACTGTGTGGCAATAGTTTGGGGATACAGGGGTGGGGGTGTCTGATAGCAGAGAACTGAGGGCTGGGCTTCACCAAGGGGGGTCCAGCTCAGAATTAAGCCTGATGCCCGTTCCTTGTGGATGTCTCTCCCTGTCCAGGAACTGCATTGGCAAGCAGTTTGCTATGAATGAGATGAAAGTGGCCGTGGCCCTGACTCTGCTCCGATTTGAGCTGGCACCAGATCCCACCAGGGTTCCTAACCCTATCTCAAGAGTTGTGTTGAGGTCCACGAATGGGATCCACTTGCACCTGAAGAAACTCTAATAACCATGGTGAGACAAAGGGCAGACTCATCCCATCTATTTCCCCCAGAGAGCCCCTCCCTTCCACCCTGTCTTTCTATCTCATCTCCTGTGTGTCTGCTCATCCTCCTGCTTCTTACTTCTACTTACCTGACTGCCCGCCCCCTTTCCACCAGACGTTCTGGTCTTCTTCATGATGACCTTCTCTTGCTTCCCTTGCTGTATGTCTGTCTACCTTTGTAAACCCAACTCTCTGGCTGTCCAGCTAACCCTTCATTACATCTTTCACCTCCAGGCTGTCTAACCATCTACCAGACTTTTGCCTCTGTCTGTTTGTCTGGCTCTGTACAAACTTCCTGGTGTTACTATGGCAAAGATGGGGGAGAAAGACAGGGCTTTCTACTCTTGTAAAGAGTTAACGTCTCAGAACCTCACAGGGGCAATTCTACCTTGTCCTATAGAGTCACTATGAGTCTGCATCAACACAAGGGCAGTCAGTTTGGTGTGGTTTTGTTCTTTTTCAATGACAAATAAACATACATTGAATGGTTATAAACAACCCAAATTTATTCTCTTGCAGTTCTGGAGATCAGAAGTCTGAAATGGATTTCACCAGATAAAAACAACTGTGGTACAAAGCCACCCCAATCCCCTCCCAGAGACGTTCTCCTCCATAAGGGCAAAATGAGTCGATGAGTCAGAATCAACAGCTGTCCTTCAGTTCCTTAGATAATCCATAATAATCTATTTCAAAATCTTCAATAAAATCTCATCTATAAATTCATTTTTGCCATGTAAGGTAACAGAATCACAGTTTCCATAGACTTGATTGTAGAAATTCTGGGGAACTATTTTCAGTGTGTCAAATGGTCTTATTACTGCTGTCTGGTATGTCACACCTGAATCTCATATATCTATCCAATTTATCATTTATATTACCCTCTAATTCTTTCCACCTCCCCAGCCCTGACCAAGTAGAACCAACTACACATTGCTTCAAGAGGTGTCCCTTTTCCTGGGGATGGAGAAGGAAAGCAGGGAAGAGAAGGGGTGAGGAAGGTAGAGGAGAGCTATCCTGTCAGAGGAAGAATACAATTCCCTCTGTTTCTTGAAGTAACTTGAGCTCATCTTGATGTTTCCTAGACTCTCTATGTATTGTTGTTGATCTCTAGTCAGTTCCAAATCACAGTTACTCTATTTACAACAGCATTAAACACTGCTTGGTCCTGAACAATCTCCACAATTGTCCTTAGGCTTGAGCCCATTGTTAAAGCCACTGTGTCATACCACCCTGGTCAGGGCCTTCCTTTTTTCACCACACCTCCACTTTACTGAGCCTGATGTCCTTCTCCAGGGACTGGTCTCTCCTGACAATATGTCCAAAGTATGTAAGATGAAGTCTTGCCATCGTTGCCCCTAAGGAGCATTCTGGCCTTATTTCTTCCAATACAGGTTGGTTTGTCCATTTAGCAGTGCACGGCAATTTCAAAATTCTCCTCCAGCACCACAACTCACGTGCATTGATTCTTCTACAGTCTTCCTTATCCAATGTCCAACTTTCAAATGCATATGATACAATGGACAATACCAGGCTTGGGGTTAGGCATACCTTAGTCTTCAAAGTAACACCCTTGCTCTTTAATACTCTGAAGAGGTCCTGTGCAGCAGACCTACCTAATAAAAGAAGTATTTTTATCTATTGACTGCTGGTTCCATTTGGATTGATTGTGGATCCAAGCAAGACAGTGTCCTAGACAACTCCAACCTTTTCCCCACTGATCATGCTGGAGTTGTGAGGCTTTTGATCTTCTTTACATTGAGTTGTAACCCACACTGAAAGCTGCCATCCTTGATCTTTACCAGCAAGTGTTTCAATTCCTCTTCACATTCAGCAAGCAAGGTTGCATCATCTGGTTGTTCATAAGGTTTCCTCCAATCCTGATACCTCACTCTTCTTCATATAATCCAGCTCCTCTGATAATTTGATCAGCATATAGATTGAACATATAGATTGAGACTATAAGCCTGACACACATCTTTTCTGATTTTAAACCAGTATTCCTTGTTCTGTTCATACAACTGCCCCTTGAGCCATGTCTGAATGAGCAGAGTGAAATGATCTGGAATTCCAAGTCTTCTCAAGGTTACCCACAGTTTATTATAGTCCACACAGTTGAATGTCTTTGCATAGTTAATGACACACCAGTAAGCATCTTTCTTTACTTTGATCCAAGATCCTTCTGAAATCAGCAATGATATCCCTTTTTCCACACCCTCTTCTGAATCTGGCCCAAACTTCTGGCAATTCCCTACCAATATCTTTGGGAACAGAACTGGGAAGAGAGTGTATGTGGACAAATACTCTACACTCAATTTCAAGGAGTCTGGGAGGCTAACTCTGTTGGAGAAAGGCCTTCACATTCAAGGATTGGAGATGAATCCCAGTCACATTCTTTTGACTAAAAACCTTCCCTACAGTATCCCCCATAATAGGCTACTTAATGAAGTTTCTATTAAGTATATGGCTGCTCTGTAGTATGCCCAGAGGATGTCTCCAGACCCTATTGTCTGCCCCACACCCTCCTGATAAGGAGGATAGATGGTTCCCCTTAAGAAGAGCTCAAAGACACCAAATTCAATCCTGCTCAGGGACAAAGTTAAGCCACCATCTAAATTCTAGAACCCACCTATCTTGTTATGTATGTGCCTTCCTGTCACAAGTATGCCGCTAGCACATCTCCTTCCCGTTGCTTGTGTGTATAAAGTGGCTTGCATGTCCTGAGATTATATAAGCCTATTGGAGAATACATCAGTTCTTCCACTTCTCTCTCATTCCAGGCTCCATGGAAAAGGTGAACCCTTGATGTATTTCTGTTATTTTCTTAATTTACCCTTCAATCATACTATCACCCCTTAGGACCCATTCTATTGTGGAGACTGGTACCCCACAAACAATCTGCTGCAACTGTTGAGGGATTATTTTAAGGAAAAATCTACTTGTGTGCAATATCAATAATATTGTTCTATAGTTTGTGCATTCTACAGCTCACCTTTCATTGGAATGGGCACAAACATGGATTGCTTCCAAGAGGCTGGCCTAGAATATAAAACGTGTTCAATAATTGTTAGCTACCGTTGCGGGTTCAAATAAATGACAGCCACTATAATGTCTTGAAATATGGAAGAGTCTTTATTCAGCTAGCTGAGCTACCAAGAAACTAAAGACGTTTCCCTTCATAGCAGCCCTGAGTGAACTTCTCAGTCCATCTGTAAGGCTGAAAAACTCACTTATCACCTGTCTAGGGTTCAAGCAAGCATGAATAGGACCAGAAAGCAAAATTAATGGATTAATTGTAACTTCAAGAAGAGTAAGCATGCATTAAAACATACATTTCTTATCATAAAAGAAATAATACCGGTCTTCCGGGAAGATGGCAACTGAGTAACACACATCGGAGGGAATCTGCAGAAATCAGCGCAGGGTAGTTACTAAGTGGGAAATTCCACACTGCCGGGTTGCAGGAGGAGCATCATAAAGATGAGTAGGCACATATCCACTAGGTTTTGAGGACCTTGGGGGCTTTTGGCTTACCATAGTGGAGGCCAGCTAGGGTTTGACTTTAGCCCCGTCATTGTCTAGGCCAGAGCCAGGATCATTTGGAGCCAGCGCAGGGGCTTTATTGCAACACAGTCACAGCTTGCCGCCACCTTGGGGCAGGGATTAAACCCCTCCAGCTCCAAGGTCAGGGATCAGGGCTCAGCTATATTGTTACTTTTGGTTTTCCTCCCTTCCCTCTAGCCTTTCACAATCTCAGCGGGCTTAGGGTTGTTGGTTTTTCTCTTTCTCTTCCCTTTTCTCTCATGCCACTGCTGACCTTCAGACCATTCCCCTTAGCCTAGGGCATTTACGCCACCCTCCACCCAGCTAGGAGAGCTCCACCCTCTGCAACATAACCTGAGAATGGGGAAAGCCCACCCAACCTCCACAAGGGGATATCCCGCCAACTTCTTCCAGGGAAATTCCACCCACCGGCCTTCTGCAGTGCTTAACGCTTGGCTAGGGAAATCCCACCCATTTTCTTCAAGGGAAATCCTGCCTGCGTGGCTGGGAGAGCGCCTACCCATCCTCTGTGGTCTCATGTGACTGAGGGAATTTCCTCCCACCTGCCATAGTGCTTTCTACAGCTTAAGGCAGCTCAGCCAACACTCTCCAAGGTTCCATGCTGAAGCGGGAACTTATGCCCAGCCTTCGCAGTGATCTCATCTAATCAGGGCAATTCCATCCACCATTTGCGGTTCTCTGCACCAAAGCGAGCAACCCATCAGCCTTCTGTGGCACTCCCATTGCAGTAGGCACCCACACACACCCGCTGCAGTGCTCCAAACTGCCGTTGGCCACACCATCACGGCTTCTTGTGAGATTACCCAGTACAGCACCATTCTCCTGGATCCACAACAACACCAGCAGCGTCCCATGAGAGAGGACCATCCAACTTGCCCTCCAAATAACAGAATACTGGTTGACTAGGGAAAGAGTGAAGCGACAGGAAGATAAAGTGATAGGCCAATTCTATAGTGAAATTAGCTGCAGGCACTTTAAGAAGCATCACTATGAGTCACCCAGAGAGACCCAGTGCTCTTCAACTCCCTGGAAAATGTCACCTGGCTCCTCTAAACCAATGCAATGCAAATAGCAATCAGTCCCGATGACCTCAATGAAAAAACAGGAGAAACGAAAGGCAATGGCAGAAGATGTCCTGAACCTAACGATGTGCATAGAAGAAGCAGATATTGATCTGCTGCTTGATGTCATACAGGATATGAGGGAAACAATACAGAAAAAAGATGAAATGATAGAGGAGATAAAGTCCATACACCAAAGGGAAATACAAGAGCTTAGCGAGGAGATAACAACAACCAGTAGGAGACACACGGACTTTGCCAATTCACTGGAGGAAGCAGAGAACGGCACCAGTGACAGAGGACAGTCCAGCATACTTTAACAAACGTGAACAAAAATCTAATAAGATCATCAGAGAAGCTGAAGAAAACCTAAGAGCTATGTCTGATGCTATGAAGAGGAAAAACATCGAATAAGTGGATTGCCGTAGGAAGACATAACAAAGAAGTCATCTGCAACAATAGTGAGAGAATTCTTGGAGGAAAACTTCCCCAGCTTAATGAATGAAAACCAGGTAACCATTCAGGAGGCTGAAAGA